TGTAAATTTCCTCATAACAGTTTTTCCTTGCCAATGGCTCCGTTTGAATTGGATGATATCCCTGACCATCGTCTGAAGAGCTGATCTCTTTCAGAGGGTGATCTAGGATCATCGTTCAAAACAGACGAAATCGTTGACAGGAAAAACTTTTATGTAGTGAGGTTAACCGAAATTTACATTCCTAGAAGTCCTTAAGGATACACTGTGAGATAGCTGGTGGTGGACATGGCACTTTTGTGCTGCGATGAAGGCGTCACCGGTCAAATACGTTTGCTACTTCAGGACCCGGGTAGCCGTATTGATTTCCTCTACGACAGGAATAGCATGCACTCAACAATCTTGCGACACTCACAATCGACAACACCAATCTATAAAACGGATAAATGAATACTACGCATGCTACACTACCAAATACCATTCAATAAAACAACCACATGATTGATACTCAATCTGCCAAAAACCATTGGAAACTTTTATTCCTATTGCACACTTCAAAGTACCTCAAGGTCAGCTGGCAGCCCATAGTCTTTTACAATCAATCAATCCATAACACAATCCTTACAATACCAACTATGATATCAAAGCACTTCAACGCTTAAAACGAGTGTAATCAAACTACCATTAAAATGCGCTCCACGCATTCAAACACTCAAACCAAAAGTCTGAACAAACCACCTACAAATGGAACTCAAGGATTCAAACATTCAATAAGATTCTGCGCACTAGCCTACCATCAAAAGGAACGGTCATTCAAACATTCAGATAAGAGTCAGAACTACCACAAAAAGAATCACACACTCTGTTGTGAGTCTTAGTCATTCAAACAAACTTCAATCATCAAAAATTGCAAACTATCAAATTGTGGCCATTACCAAAGGCAACAAGACCATAATCAAATTGGGCATATCGAAGCGTCCTTCATTTCATTTCATTCACTTTTCTTTTCTATTCATACTTGTAATTTATCATTCAGTTTCTTTCTTTCAAACCATTCATTCTTACTTTCATTCAAAAACTTTAACAACTTGTAAATTCTTTCCAAATAAACCTTTTGGTTTGGTTTGTTTTCCAAACCCCAACTCTTTTTTAAACTAAATGAAGATGGTGACAATGACAATATTAGAACTTAGACTAAATAAAACGAATATGTAACAAAATTGAATTTGTAACAAACACATTGTGGATGTGATATAGGCACGAGAAATGAGCGATTGACTGATGTGCCAACCAATAAGAAGTGTACTGACAATGACACCTCAAGAACTTTGAGAAATATGATTGCTTACCTTTACCACTAAAGTAGTCGGCATGTATGATAAATGAATTGAAATAACGTTCGTCAGCAATATACCTTCAATTTGTTAACTTTCGCAAAAAAGAAAAAAAAAGAAGGAATTTGAATTTATTTACACTTGGAGTTGGGAGTAAGAAATCTGTTATCATATATTTCTGACCACGAAGAAGTGAATGGGAGTGTTGCATCCTAGCCCACTTTGTGCACGTTTTTCTATCTAGTTTCAAGTGAATATGAACCGGTGCTGACGCCTCAACTACAAGGTGACTGATGTAAACCCAAACTTGCCAGTATCGAAAAAATAATTTTTTTTGTAACAATCGATTTTGTTGGATATAATGATTCTCCCTTGAATTTGATAGATTTTCAGCATATCAGAAACTATGTATCTTCAAAATCAGAGTTACGGTTCAATTTAAATTAATTACTCTTGGTGATGAAAATGTCTCAAAATTTATGCTGTGAAGAATAGACTTTCGAAGATGTAAATAGAGAACATTGGAATTTTTTTTACTGCATGAAAAGAGCTTGATGAAGCTATAGCTAAAAGTGCATCCTAGCTATACGTGTATGCCCGTTTTTACTTTCCATTTTCCAGTGAACATGCGCCAGTGCTGATGCCTCAAGTACCAGGCGACTGATGTAAACCTAGCTTACCAGTATCGAAAAATATAATATTTTAATTGGACGGGACGCACACTCGCGCTAGCGGAACAATTTGACCTCTCACTCCAACCTTGACGATGCTGCAAGACGTTTAGCCAAATTTATCGCCCAGGACCTAAAAGAATTCAGTATATTTTGCAAAGAAGTACTGTGGCAACTTGTGTGAGTGAAGAGTCGTCAACTGCGATTCCTATTTTCTTCCATCGCCTTAAGTCGAGTGGGTTGTCCGCGCCCGTCACGTGTTTCATCCGTGCCTCGCTCTTTTATGGCGTGTGTCTTCCGCCTATAAATATCAATTCAGTAACGACAAAAAAAGACATCGATCAATTTCTCTCTCTCTTTTCTTAATCTCATCTAGTCCTCAGTGTGCGTTTACCACAGTACTATTCCACGCTTGTATCGCTGTAATAGTATCGAACTCCCGTTATAAAGGCTTCGCTTCAGATTAAAGTAGCTTCATTCATCTCACTCACGGGCCATACGTCTCAACTGGTGCCTTCTACCGGAAACTCTGTAGTATTTCATAGTCGTGTCGCCCATACAAAGCGTAATCAAAATAAGATTGTCCAAGCCAACCGCGTGTATCGGTAGCGTATCAAGTTTATTCAAGCCAACTGCGTGTATCAGCAACCGTTATCGAACGTATCCATTAAAACTGGTGACCTACTGCGGAAGTTCTTATCACCATTCAATACCAAGTTTAGCCAAAATCAGGTTTATCTAAGCCACCTACGTGTAGTCAAACCATCCGTTAGCCACTTTCAAGATGCCTATAACGGTAGATTTTGTCACATTAACCGTGTTAACGAATGTATTTGGTTACACTTGCGAATTATTTTTAGAAAAAGTCTGGAGTTACATATCCGTGAAAAGCGGCAGAGCTGATTTCAAAACTTATGTAGAAGCTGACTACATCGAAAAATTTTTACCATTTCGCACCTTCAGGGCCTTATTCACCAGCAGATTTGGTTTTCTGGCCGGACTATGCACTGTGTCATTAGCGATGTCCACATTTATAAGTCCTTTGGTGCAATTAACGATTAATGGAGGAGCTTCGTTTGTATCACCAGTAATCCAGCTGAATAACGTTACTAAGGGCATGTATTATGGACCAAAACCTTACACGACGGCTAGCACGGTCTTAACAGAAGAAAACTTTAAGAATGCACTCGGCTTGTTCGCCGGTGTTGCAGACGCTTCCGCAAGGCCCTTGTCATTCATAGACTGCGCGGGAGGCTGTATTGATCCTAACAACGGAAGAATCCTTAATGTCTATGATGTGTCGTCTACAGTATCTCCTCGGGTATCAATTAGTATTGATCTAGATTACTGCTCTAACACCACAACCTGGGTCTGCTTCAACGGAGTCCCAGGTTTGTATTTGGATACCCCATATGACAGTATATCGCTGTATGCACCTAACACGTACTCAGGGATTCATAATTTGACCAATGACGAAATATTCGCACAAGATACGTTTATAGGAACTTTAGCAACAGATACGAATGCCACTATAGCCTTCGGAGTTAGAGTGTCTTACACTATGGAGCTTACAAACAGCTATAATTATAGTGTTCTTGAGGCGGACAAAATTTACAATTACGGACCGATACAATATAGTCAAAGCTCAAGTTTCTCAGACTGGTGCAATGTAACACGTAGTTATAACGAAGGCTCTTATGCAGTATTGGAACTCGGGTGTTACAAATATCTGTACAGATACAAAGTCGAAACTTACGTACTAGCGAACGACCCTCTACTCGACTCTTACAGAGTCAGTCCTTACGATGATATTGACGGTAATATTATCTCTCCGATGGAACTCCAAGGGGAGCCGAACTATGGGGCATCGTTTAGAATGGCGGCAGTCAGCGTGGGTAATTTTGCAGGCAACAGCAGCTTAAGCACAGCAAGTCTGTCTAACCTGGTGAAGCTACTACCTATAACTTCCAACTTCACGCTCTACGATGACGCTATGAGCATAGCGGTGGTAGTCTACTCTACTGTACCATATTTCTTAATACCTGACGGCACACTGGTCGGAATGTTAACCATAACACTAACGGTATTATTGTCACTGTCTATGTACCAGCTATCACAACGGGCCACCCCTTACTTGATGAACCAGTTTACGCTATTGGAGGCTAGTGTGACAGACGGCATGTGTGGCTTTAAGAGTAAATTCCAACATCAGCACAAATGGTTCAGTTCCGAAGTTGGCAAACATCAAGGATTTTCTGTTGACGGAAAACATGTTACGTTACAAGACCAAGGCACGATTTACTACGATGCTGTTGAGATGATATCTCCTGATGAGGAAAAAGGTAGTTATATACTGGCTAACCACTACACAGAGGAACGCTCTGGCTACCTGGGCTTTATATCGAGAGGTATAGTAACTAAAGGCATAGGAGCAGTTGCTATTAGGAATGCGAGTGACCGGCAACAAGAGAAAACAGCAAACGGAGATTTGACTTTCAGAAAGCCAAGCAGACTTAGACAGAGTAGCACAAAGCGGGATTATGCTAGCGAAGCGATAGACGCGGTCCACAAACACACGGGCCTAACGTTGGATGACACGATACAAACACCAGAGAACAACCAGGGCGGCACAAGAGAGGATATAGCAAGTTGTGAGCACCCGCTCAGCGATTGGTAACGGTAGAAGAGTTACTGCAGGAAGGGTGGTGCCGGCGGGAGTAGAAATCACAGTATCCCTACTAGAGGAGAAGAAGTATCGGCAGTGTGAAACAGACCGCAAATACATAGAAAAGATCATGAGAACTCTACAAGACCTAGAAATTACTTATCAAGAAGTCAAGCCGGATGAACTTGGTAGTCAGTCGAGTACATGTACATACAGGGAAGAGCATTACGGATACGGCAGAGGCGGTTTTGAGTACCTAAGGCAAGATAGAATGGTGCTGTACGGTGTGGACGGCAGAGAAGTAGAGAGCCTAAGCGACAGAGCGTCTGTGCGTCTGAAGACAACGATGCACCTAGTGATCTGCACGACATGGAAGGGGATACTACCGGGCGAGAGCGTGGCTACAATAAGCAAATTTCAGAAGACGAAGACGGAGAGTTATTCAACGAAGATACAGATATCAAAACGATGTATGAAATCCGTATAGACGTGCTGTACGACTTACCGGAACACCACGCGACATCAGCAGTGGCATGGAGCCTGTTAAGTCCGGTGTCTAACGCGGCAACTATACTCACTAGAGAGCAGGTTTAAGAACTCTGCATGGCTGCAGGTTTTAAATTGAAATCTGACAGCGAAGTCGTTAAAAGCCGAGTAATTCTCTTCCCGTTATCCAAGGATCTATTCAGGTCGAAATGGAATTTGTTAAGAGTTGTAGCATTTTGTACTATCTGCGAGATCATACTTAACTCAAAAGGATGTACGTCCGAAAATGATCGAAAGAAGATACGCAACTCTACTCGAACCTATGTTCAACAAATGGGATCCTGTACCGCAAAGATGTTGACGATCAACCTGGACGTGAAGTCTTGCACGAAGGCAACGTAGAAGAAGTCGTCTCTCGAGTCCATAGCGAAGGTCACATGGGAATCAATAAACTTGGAGAACGTTGCGCCTTCAGTACGATGGTCATCAGTTGTTTGAATGCGTACGAAAACTCGTCCAAAGTTGCTCTACTTGCCGGGCCAGAGCAAAGCGCAAGCACAAGAGACAAGCACTGTTGTCGCCAATCCCCGCTCCACATGTTCCGTTCTTCAAGATTTGTTGTGACGCAGTTGGTCCCATGCTTACTCCAGCAACGGGAAACCGATATTTGTTGGTTGCTGTAGATTACCTTACGAGGTGGGCCATGCGTTCAGGCAGTACCGGACATCACGGCAGAGCAAACGCCATGTTTTTGTTGATCAAGTCGTAACCAGCCATGGAGTACCTTCTTTCATTTTGACGGACCAAGGCTCGAATTTCCCTAGCTCATAGGTCTCTTCCTTTTTACGACGTTTGGAGTGTCGCCACCTTACTACTACCGCTTATCGTCCACAAACAAATGGCCTAGTGGAACGTATGAATCAAACTGTAGTACAAGCATTTAATAAGATTGTTCGCGACAAGGATGACAAGCTAAACTGGGATAAGAACTTGAATGCAGCACTTCTGGCGATACGTACCACACAAAACGATACCACTAACTTCAGCCCTGCCATGATGCTGTATGGTGTAGAGATGAGAACTCCTAGTACTTGGCCACCCCCAGATCTGATTATGTTGAAGGAAAATTGGAAGAAGAACTGATCTCTAGATCGAAAGAGATACAAAGTCTATTACCAAGGTTATGGAAAGACGCTGAGCTTTCCGGTCTCCGCGCCAAGCAATCCGCCAAAGAACGTTACGATAAGCATGTAGTCCACAAACAGTTCCAAGTTGGTCAAATAGTGAAGTACCTCATCCCAACCCAAGTACAAAGTTCGACGATAAGTTCGTAGGTCCCTACAGAGTGTTAGAGAAACTCAGGAACAACACGTATCTATCAGCAAGCAAAATACTGTCCCTGCGGCAAAATTTTAAGATAGCAAAAAATAAATGACAATGGTTAGAATTTAATGCATGCATTTGGTCAAGTCTGAAAAGTGTCATTGTCAGCATACTCAAGTAGTGTAAGAAGTTGTTTGAAAATCTAACGGAATGGTTTTATTTTAAATGAATTTATACAAGTTGTTAAAGTTTTTGAATAAAGTAAGAATGAATGGTTTTAAAGAAAAAAACTGTATAATAATTTACAAGTATGAAGTGAAAAATAATATGAATGAAATGAAATGAAATGAAAGACGCTTTGATATGCCCAATTTGATTATGGTCTTGTTGCCTTTGGTAATGGCCACAATTTGATAGTTTGCAATTCTTGATGATTGAAGTTTGTTTGAATGACTAAGACTCACAACAGAGTGTGTGATTCTTCTTGTGGTAGTTCTGACTCTTATCTGAGTGCTTGAATGGCCGTTCCTTTTGATGGTATGGTAGTGCGGAGAATCTTATTTGAATGATTGAATCCCTGAGTTCCATTTGTGGGTGGTTTGTTCAGACTTTTGGTTCGAGTGTCTGAATGCATGGAGCACATTTTAATGGTAGTTTGATTACACTCGTTTTAAGCGTTGAAGTGCTTTGATAGCATAGTTGGTATTGTAAGGATTGTGTTATGGATTGATTGTAAAAAGACTATGGGCTGCCAGTTGACCTTGCGGTACTTTGAAGTGTGCAATAGGAATAAAATATTCCAATGGTTTTTGGCAGATTGAGTATCAATCATGTGGTTTGATTACATTTGAATGGTATTTGGTAGTGTACCGTGCGTAGTATTCATGTATCCGTTTTATAGATTGGTGTTGTCGGTTGTGAGTCGTCGCAAGATTGTTGAATGCATGCTATTCCTGTCGTAGAGGAAATCAATACGGCTACCCGGGTCCTGAAGTAGCAAACGTATTTGACCGGTGACGCCTTCATCGCAGCACAAAAGTGCCATGTCCACCACCAGCTATCTCACAGTGTATCCTTAAGGACTTCTAGGAATGTAAATTTCGGTTAACCTCACTACATAAAAGTTTTTCCTGTCAACGATTTCGTCTGTTTTGAACGATGATCCTAGATCACCCTCTGAAAGAGA